GCAGAATCCTCAGGTGTAGCTGAGATTACCCCCGCCTCAGATTCCACGACCACAGGTGGGGTAGTCGTGGCGACCCCCCCTAGAATTGCATTTAGCTCGGCGTAGAAGCGGCATGTCCGCGGCTCTGACCCGGAGCGACCGTTTGCCTCCTTTGTTTTTTGATAGGCTTGTCTGAGCTCCTTCACTTTCACGCGGCACTGATCTGAGTCCCTATTGTGGCCTCTCTCCATCATGCCCTTGGAGATTTTTTCAAAAGTTTTGGCATTTCGTCTCTTTGAACGAAGTTCTGCTAGCACTGAATCCTCTCCCCATATAGCGATCAGATCCAGTACCTCCCGAACGGTCCATGCTGGTGCTCTTTTTCGATTATCAGCCTGCATGGTTACCTGTGCTGATGAGCTATCTGTGGTCACCTGTGCTCTCCACGCTGGGCAAACAGGAAATGAAATTCAAATGTTCGCGGGGCTTTTCCTGTCTACCTGGCGAGTGCATCCGAGGTCAGATTGCTGTCCAGAGCGGTCAGTGGTGCACTGTGGGATAGCTCCCGGAGGCCAATACCATCCAATTGCGGCCACACTACCCCTAATTCGAATTGACAAAATCGATTTTGGCGCTACTCCGCTCGTCGGGGTGGAGTACAGAAATCGATTTTAAGCGCCCTTTATTTCGAACTAAATGGCTCCGTTGTGTGGACGGGTGAAGGGTTAATTTGAATTAACGCTGCTAAATCCGAATTAAAGTCGTAGTGTAGACCAGGCCTTAGCTCCTTAATTTTCACGCAGCACTGCTATGTGTCCCTGTTATGGCCTCTGTCCTTCATGCCCTTTGAGACTTTTTCTAATGTTTTGGCATTTCATTTACTGGAACAGAGTTCAGCTAGCACGGATTTGTCTCCCCATAGGGGGAGCAGATCCCGTACCTCCCGTTCGGTCCAGGCTGGAGCTCTTTTGCGATCCTGGGACTCCATCATGGTCACCTCCGCTGATGAGATCTGCACTCACCTGCACCTTGCCATGCTGGCCAAACAGGAAATGAGATTCAAAAGTTCGTGGGCCTTTTCCTGTCTACCTGGCCAGTGCATCTGAGTTGAGAGCGCTGTCCAGAGCGGTGACAATGGAGCACTCTGGGATAGCTCCCGGAGGCCAATACCGTCGAATTCCGTCCACACTACCCCAAATTCGACCTGGCAAGGGTGATTTCGGCGCTAATCCCCTCATCAGAGGTGGAGTAAAGAAATCGATATAAAGAGCCCTTTAAGTCGGGAAAAAAAGGGCTTCGTCTTGTGGACGGGTCCAGGCTTAAATCGAGGTAATGCTGCTAAATTCAACCTAAAATCGTAGTGTAGACCAGGCCTTTGTTAGGCTTGGAAGAATTGGATTTTTATCACTAAATATTGGTAAATGTTGTTGTTGTTTTTTTTTTTTTTCCCCCTGTGTGTACACAAACCAAGGAAAAAATATTTCCATTGGCAATATTTGAAATTTCTAATAGGCAAAGCAAGAAGAATGTAGCTTGAGAAGTCATTAGTTTGATTTAAGGGGGAAAAATTACAGTGAAATGGATGCATGCTTAGTTCTTGTGAATACCAAGCCAAATTTTATCTTGGGATATTCAGCACCAAGGAAATATTTATTGAGGTTTCAGCTTGAATTTGTGTTCTCCATATCAGGGAATGTAAAAAACAGAATAATTTCTCCACCCAGAGGGTGAGCCAGCTTGCTAGAGTCAGATTATTTTATCATATAGGGTCTGTCCATGTTATGCTAGAATTGCAGTAAGCAATAACCATGATTTCCCTAGTGTGGACAGTGACTCCCCCCCCCAACCCCCCCCCCTGAGAACCGTTTATAGACTTCTCAAGCAGGGTGGATTTGATTTAAATTAAATTGATTTAAATCACTAGTCAGGAAGACTCGATTTAATCATGGATTTCTACATAAAAGTGCATTTTTGTTGATTGTTATAACCTTAATAAATATTCTTCACAACTCAGAGATAGATGTAGGTTTCATTTTTAGAAGGTACACACTATACATTTTTAAAGTGATTTATTTTGAAAACTTTTCAGATTAGTTTTACAGCTATATCCGAAAATGAATGATTGGTTATTTCATTTACCAAAGGTAATTGAAGCAGATAGTTCACCTCCCAATGACTTCATAAATATCTCCAATTCAACAGGTTAATCATTAATATTTGGTGGCTTTTCTTGCCATGTTGTATTAGGAGGAGAACATTACCAGTCAGAAATTTAAATTGTTTTATTTAACTAAAACAAAAAGTTATGTATTCTGGATTTTTTTCTTCAACTGCAAACATAAAATATTTTAACAAAACAAGCATATGAATTTTTGAATTGAAACAGTCAATATTTTTAAAATCAGGTTTGTTTGTGTTAAAATTGTTTTTAACTAAAATAGTTAAATGAAATATTAAAAAAAACAAAACCAAAAATGTAATCGTCTGTCAGCCAGGTCAATATGAGAAACTTAAAATATTGGCTTCTGCAGTTAACTCAGTCGTCTTCACCTTCATTTTTCTGTTTGTTCATAAACTGGAAAAGGAAAAACAAGCTTTCCTGCCTTTTCAGGTTCCAAACGATTTCTCAGTTTGGAATGAATTAGTCCAAAGGAAAAAATTCTTTCTACACCGGCAGAAGAAGTTACTGCTGTTAAAAGTGAGATTATCACTTCAACAGTCTCTGAATCCAAGTGCTTAAGTGACTTCCACCAGTTCACTTGTGTGACTTTTTTTTTAAAACATCATCAGCAAACATGTATGTCTTGAATGGTTCATCCTCTGCAGTTTATTATAGTTGGCATTATGGAGGGATGATTGCTGGATGTCCATGTCATAGCCAACTCCTCTTCTTCAGCAGTTAAGGTTTGACCCTGGTACCGAGTATTGAGAATATTGAGCTGGAGATAGTGCTTGTCCCATTCATTTTTTTTTTTTAATGCTTGTAATTTAACTCTGTCATTGCATATTTCTCTTGTTAAGATCTCACTCAGTTCCTTCCAGATTTCAACAGCGTCAGCAATAAAACAGCTATTCCCCTGCATTTTGTTCAAGGCTACAGAAATAGGCTTCAGGGTACTCAGCACATGTTCAACATTTCTCTTAAGCCCAATGTTGAGAACTCTGGCTGTGACGGTGCCATCTATTATTTCATGATTTTGTTCACAAACTGTCATCAGATTAGGCCATTTCTTGATATAGTGCTCAAAGCAGTCCACTACTGAGTTCCATCGCATGTCTTTTGGGAGAGTTAGCTTGATTCCTCCCACTTTTTTCAGAGCAGCTGCTGCAAAGTGGTTGTTATGGAAGTATTTTGCAATTTCAACATTAGCCTTTATTTCTGGAACACTGAAGTCTTTGGCTAGGAGGTGCATCAAATGAGCACTGCAACCATATGTTATTAGCTTAGGACTCTCTTCACTCTCTTCTAAATGATTTCTTCTCATCTTGGATACATTTGCAGTATTGTCTGTGACCAAACTGCATACTAGACATTTGAATTCCCCCCCCCACAGTTTATTATAGCTTTTACTGCTACTTCTTGTAAGTATTTTGCTGTGTGTGCATTTCCTGATGTATCAATTGTTTCTGTAAGGAAAACATTCTCTTCTTCTGTTGTCACACAAGCACATATAACCGGATCATTGTGGACATTGCTCCACCCATCAAGACTCAGGTTAACAATTTTACCCTCTAGACCTTTTGCACACTGCTCAATTTCTCTTTCATACACTTTATCCAGCAATTTGCCTGCGACATCTACTCTGTTCGGTGGACTGTATCCTGGTCTTAATGACTGAACCATGTTAATGAAGTGTGGGTTCTCAATCATATGGAAATGAGAGTTTGTTGCATAAACAAACGAGGCAGTTTTTTCATCAATTACCTCTTTTTGTAATCTGCTGGTTCTTACCACAAACTTATATATGGTTGTTTCTGGATGATGGAGATTTTTTTTTTTCTTTTTGCTAAAGGTGATATACTGTGGCTATGTGACATACTTGATGTGACTGAAACACTATCATTAGCAGATAACTTGGAAAGTATAGAAAATGATGGTGATCTTGAAGGTGGATAGTCTTCAGACAAAATAAGTCAATGCAGTTATTTAATTATTATTACCATACTGCTCATTTAGTATTACTCATTGCATTCACTGACACTCAGTACTATAAAGGTGAAATTGTAAAAGGAAGATCTGCCTATTTCAGTTCTTTATTTTTTTATCACAACTGCATCTAAAATAATAGTACTATAGAGTAACAACTATATTTTTTTGCTCAAACATGAGAATTCAAGAATAGTCCAGAAAGAAGACAGGCAGTCCTTAAACCCACTAAACCCCCTCTTTTGTCATATATTGAGGTGTGTTAATGAACCACTTCACCTTGAAGAGTCTCTGAGAATATGCGTTAACTACTTATGCTAAACAATCTGTTCCACCTTGTATTTGGCTGTGACACTCTGAGTACCTTTCCCAGATCCGAAGGAGAGCTCTGTGTAGCTTGAAAGCTTGTCTCTTTCACCAAAAGCAGTTGGTCTATAGAAAAATATTCAATCACCCACCTTGACTGTCAAAAGTATCCTCTTGTACCTTCAGTCCTAGAAACCTTCTCAATCCCCAGTACATGAATGAAAGTCTCTTTAGTGTCAGAGAGAGTTCCTCGTATGTACCGAGAGAAGATAGAGCAGAAAAGAAAAGTGAGGCAGAGACTTTTAATACCAATATTGTATGTGTTCATAAATAATTGTCACACATCACTTTTTTTTAAACAAATATTTATACATGTGAAGTACTTGTGAACAACATAGGAAAGAAATGTCTTGTGTGTCCCCACTTCAGATGTTACTACAGTGTGGTCTATGCTTATCTTGCCTCTATGGCAGAAAATATCTTACTTGGTGGAGGGCAGATGTGTGTTGAATTGGAAGAGGGTTTATCCCAAAGCCCTGTAATGAGGTCTGTTTGTTTCCATTTGCAGGGAGAGCATGTGCCTAATTCACACACTGAAAGGAGTTTTCGGGCCACATCTCTTAGCTGGCACCCATCCCAACTGATCCTTGCAGTGGGCTGGGAGACAGGGGAAGTGGTGGTGCTTAACAAACAGGACAAAGAGCACCACACAGTACCCCCCAACCATAATGCCGAAATTACTGTCCTAAACTGGAGTACTAATGGTACCCGCCTTGTGTCTGGTGATAGGGTAAGTAGCGAAACTGACATGCAATCAGTGTGCTTTATGCTGTATAATGTGTCCTGGAGATGGAGAACGAGAATGGGATTTTTAACAGTAATGGACTAATGGGGCGGGGGAAATTTCAAGGAAAAGATGAGTCTAATTTCATAATAATAATTATTAGTTCTTCAAGTGATTGCTCATGTGCATTCCAATAGATGTGTGCGCACACCGCGTGCACGATCGTCAGAAGTTTTTCCCCTAGCGGTACCCATCAAGTCGGCTGTGGAGACCCTTGGAGTGGCACCTTTATGGCAGTGTATATAGTGTATACTGCTGACCCGCCGCCTGCTCAGTTCCTTCTTACTGCCAATGATGGTCGTTGGAGCAGCTCAGTCTCTTGCATTCACAAGTGCCTACCTAGTGGTTCCCTTTTCTTTGTTGTACATAGTTGTTATATAGTAGTTTGTAGTTGTTTGGACTCTACTTCGGTGGGCTTCCCCCCGCCCTAGTTTCCCCAGGCACTGGGGCATGCCTCGGTCACAGGGGTTTAAGGCGTGCGAGAGCTGTGCGAAACCTATACCCACAGGCGATCCGTACGCTGTCTGTCTCAAGTGTTTAGGAGAGGGCCATCAGACAGATAAGTGCCCAATTTGCAGGAGTTTTAGACCCAGGACTGAGAGAGAGTGGGACTATCATTTGAAGCTCCTCCTGATGGAGTTGGCCCTCTGCCCACAGGCAGCACTGAAAGTGGCACCGGCATCATCGGTGCGCAGCGCCCGGGCCTCAATGCGGGATGTCCTGGCACTGAGGAAGAACTCCTCCAAGGAGCACTGGCGCCACTCCCCGACTCATAAGGCCAGTGCCACCAGGCAGCACTGCTCACAGTCCCTGGTGCTGCACAAGAAAAAGAAGGTGGACAAGGGTCGTTGCCCTATCAAGAAGCCACGAGGGGACTCCAGCGGGGTGCGTCCTCTGGCAGGACACCCACGGTCTGGGCCTCAAGACCTGGCACACCTGACTCTGGCCCCAACATCTGGTGGCCTCCTCGACTTGGGAGGATTTGGAGGAAGAGCTTGACCTTCCCTCCACGCTGGATACCTACACGGCAGCACGGGACCTCATTGCCATGACGGCACAGGCCCTGGCACCGCAAGCCCAGGCACCGTCGGCGGCACCAGCTGCAGCATCTATCCTGGCACGGCATGTGGCTCCAGCACCCTTTGCAGCACTGATGGCGGCACCGCATCTGGTTCATCATTGTGGCAAGCCTGTGATTTTTATGGCACTGCTCACCATCTCCCCGGTACTGCTCCTCAGCACTGTCGGGCTCCACCCCCCTGTGGTCAGGCACAGACTACTTGTTCAAGTCAGACGCTGAGTCTTCTGTCTCTCGACACAGCGACTATCACTCCTGGCACCGGTCCCGGCACCGCAGACCAGTGGAATCATCGGCACCGGCGGTCGCCTGGTTGCCCCAGTGGCAGGGCCCAGTCCAATGTCCTTTTGGACCCCTTGGGCCTACCATCAGGCTCAGGGTCAGGGCTCCAGGCTGGCATCGGTGACATCTGCATCCTGCCTCCCCACCCCCCACCCCCGGCAACGTTGGTGGCTCGCCACACCCCCAGGGCTCCTGAGGACCCCACACGAGACGGGGACTCTGGACCTGTCACGCTCAGGCGCAGCACCCGAACCAGTGCCATAAGTGACACTAGAGCCACCTCCAGTCACAGGAGGCTCTGAGGTACCTGACCCAGCCTCCAGAGAGCCAAAAGGGCAGGAAGACCCTGTCCTACGAGCCTCCTCCTCACCAAACGAGGCGGTGGCAGGCACCACCACCACCCTACCGGCAATGGACACCAAGCAGAAGAGGTGATGGAGGACTCTGACTGAATGGTGGACGTCCTTGCCCCGGAGGTTCCTTCTAGATCGCCATACGTGACTGTCCCAGATCACATCAGATAGCTGGGTCCTCAGCACGGTAGGGGTGGGATATTCTGTCCAATTCTATTCCCTCCCACCCTCCTTCCCCATCCCTCTTCAGGGACCCTTCTCACGAACAACTCCTCTTGCAGGAGGTGCAATCACTTCTCGCTCTGGGGCAACAGAGGAGGTTCCTCAGGAGTTCAGGGGCAAGGGGTTCTACTCACGCTATTTCCTCTGGATCTGTGAGACCTCAACACATTCATAAGGAAAGTGAAGTTTCGCATGATCTCTCTGGCCGCCATCATTCCTTCCCTGGATCCGGGGGACTGGTTGAAAGACTTTGACTTTCCACCGCCCTTGACTTGAAAGACACGTACTTCCATATTTCCATTATCCCGGCCCACAGACGATTCCTGAGATTCGTGGTCAGTGGCTAGCACTATAAGTTCAGGGTGCTCCCATTTGGGCTCTCAGCGGCCCCCCCGGGTATTCATCAAGTGTATGGTGGTTGTGGCAGCCTTCCTCCGGAAATGTCAGGTGCAAGTATTCCCTTTCCTAGATGACTGGCTCATCAAGGTCAAGTTGCAAGCATGGGCCACAGAGCATGTGTCTCTGGCACGGGCCACATTCTGCAGGCTGGGACTCATATTGAATGTGCCCAAATCCACACTGGCCCCGATGCAGAGAATAGAATTCATAGGGCTCTCTTGGACTCCACGCAGGCCAAAGCGTTCCTGCCTGAGTTGCGTTTCCAAGCACTCACGAACACTATCGAAAATCTTTGCCAATTTCCCACAACCACGTCTGGAAATTGCATGAAACTATCTGGGCATATGGTGGCCTGCACATACGTGGTCCAGCATGCCAGGTTACGCCTTCGGCCCCTCCAGGCATGGTTGGCGTGGGTGCACATGCCGGGCAGGGATGTGCTGGACGCGATAGTTACCCTCCACCCTTGCATCTTTGAGTCTCTCCACTGGTGGCTGCAACCACAAGTTGTGCAGGAGTACCCTCTGCCAAACCCCAACCTATGCTATCCCTAGTCATGGCCGTCTCGGCGCTTGGTTGGGGAGTGCACCTAGGCAATATCAGAGCCCAAGGCCTATGGTCCCACACAGAACTATTGCTGCATATCAACGTAAGGGAGCTGAGGGCGGTTTGTCTGGCATGCCAAGCGTTCCAGGCCCGCTGCAGGGTGCATTTGTTTCGGTGCTGACGGACAACACTGCAGCAATGTTGTATATAAACAAACCGGGTGGTGCTCGCTCCTCTCCCCTGTGCCAGGAAGCCCTCAAGCTGTGGGATTTTTTGCATTGTCCACTTGATACACCTAGAAGCGTCACACCTTCCAGGAGCGCAAAACGAGCCAGCCGATCACCTCAGCTGCTCGTGATCATGAATGGTCCCTCAGGCCGGACATCACTCACTCAATTTTTCCAGAGGTGGGGCTCTCCCCACATAGACCTGTTCATGACATAGAGCAACAGGAAGTGACAGCGGTTCTGCTCTTTCCTGAACCACAGCCTCGGCTCCATTGTGGATGCCTTTCACCTTCCATGGACGAGTCACCTGCTGTACATGTTCCTGCCCTTCCCTCTCATACACAAAGTCCTCCTCAGGCCTCGCCAGGACAGGGCTTCCTTGATCCTCATAGCACCAGCGTGGCCCTGCCAGAACTGTTTCACCATGTTGTTGAACCTCTCGGTGGACAGATCAGTAGCGCTTCCTGTGTGCCTGACCCTAATCACACAGGACCACAGCCGTCTGCAACACCCAATCTGGAGTCCCTCCACCTCATGGCGTGGAAACTCCATGGCTGAACCCTCTTGAGCTTCAGTGTTTGGACCCAGTGAGGGAGGTCCTGCTGGGAAGTAGGAAACCCTCCACTCGTGCCATGTACCTGGCAAAATGGAAGTGTTTTTCCATCTGGTCTCTGCAGAGGGGAAGTGAACCGCAGCTAGCGCCAATTCCCCTTATTTTGGACTACCTGTTATAACTTAAGCAGCAGGGGTTGGCAATATCATCTCTCCGGATATACCTGGCTGCCATTTCGGCCTTTCACTTGGGGGCAGCGGGTAGGTCAGTCTTTGGTAATCCCATGGTGGGCAGGTTTCTCAAGGGCTTGGACAGACTTTATCCCCAGGTATGACGGCCCGTTCCCCAGTGGGGTCTTGTCCGCACTCATGGGGGGGCCCCCTTTTGAGCCTATGGCAACCTGCCCTCTGTCCGACCTTTCCTGGAAGGTGGCCTTTCTGGTGGCCATAACCTCAGCCAGAAGGGTATCTGAGCTCAGAGCGCTGGCTTCCGAGCCCCCCATATGGTCTTTTATAAAGACAAGGTGCAGCTACGCCCTCACCCTGCATTTCTGCCAAAGGTAGTCTCCCAGTTTCATGTGAACCAAGACATATTTTTACCTGTGTTCTTCCCTCAGACCCATACCAGTAACCGAGAACTCATGTTCCATTCCCTGGATGTTAGGCATGCCCTAGCATTCTACATTGAGCGCACAAAGCCATTTTGTAAGTCACCATAGCTCTTTATTGCAATCCCAGAAAGGATGAGGGGGTTCCCAATCTCGTCCCAGCGCATTTCATCATGGATCATGTCCTGTATCAGGACTTGCTACGACCTGGCAAAAATTTCAGCCCCTCGGCTTACGGCGCACTTCATGAGTGCAGGCGTCGTCCCCAGTATTCCTGGCACAGGTCCCTATCCAGGACATATACAAGGCAGCAGTGTGGTCTTCCATCCACACCTTCACGTCACGCTATGCCATTACACAACAGGCGAGGGATGATGCAGCCTTTGACAGGGCAGTCCTGCACTCAGCAACCAGGTGAACTCTGACCCCTCCCCCAGGGAAACTGTTTGGAAGTCACCTATTGGAATGCACATGAGCAATCATTCGAAGAAGAAAAAATGGTTACGAGAGGTAGGTAACTGTTGTTCTTAGAGATGTGTTGCTCATGTCCATTCCAATAGGGGTGTGAGCGCGCTGTGTGCACGATCGTCGGAAGGTTTTTCCCCTAGCAGTACCTGTCGGGTCGGCTGTGGAGAGCCCTGGAGTGGCGCCTTTATGGCAGTGTATATAGGTCCCTGCT